TCTGTGATCTGGTAAGCATCATCCTGTTGAAATGCTTGAGGTAAGGCATCGACATCAACAGTTAGGGACTCCACTAAGGTCACTGAGGGGTGTAAAAGATCAGGATCGTCACAGGACTGACCAATTTGATGACGCTCACTGATAGTTTTCACGGCTTCTTCTGAAACAACCTTCTGTCAGGTGCTGGTGAGTGAACTGTCTAATTCTTTCCCTCTCTTTCTGTGTCTCCAGGTCATCTGGAATTTCTGCTTGCGGCCATCTAGAGAGTCCATCTGCATCCTGGTTTCTACTCCCAGCTCGGTACTTGAAGGTGAACGTTGATAAACTTGACAACCATCTGTAGCTGGTGGCGTCTAATTTTGCGGAAGTCAAGAGGTAAGTCAATGGGTTACTGTCAGTTATCACCGTGAATTCAGCCCCATACAAGTAATCATTGAACTTGGTCGTCACGGCCCATTTCAAGGCCAAAAATTCCAACTTGTGGGCGGGGTACTTTGACTCACTCCGGGTAAGTCCTCTACTTGCGAAGGCGATGACTCTCATCTGTCCATCTTGCTCTTGGTATAATGCTGCACCAAGGCCGGTGGTGCTGGTATCTGTGTGCAACACATATGGGAGTTTGGGGTTGGCAAATCCCAATACTGGAGCAGAGGTGAGTTTCGCAATGACAGTATCAAATGCCCATTGACAATCTTGAGTCCATCGTTCTCCAAACTGTTCCTTCAGATTGAAGTACTGCTTTTACTCGTCTGTCTTTTTCTTGCGACTTTTCTGCAGTGGAGGGTAACCAGCAGTGAGATCATTAAGGGGCTTCACAATTTTCGAAAAATCTTGTACAAACCTCCGATAGTAACCAGAGAATCCGAGAAAAAATCTGAGCTCCTTAAGATTCTTCAGCCTCGGCCAGGTTTTAAGGGCTTCGACCTTTGCTGGGTCAGTTTCAACTCCGTGCTGGGATACAATGTGGCCCAAGTATCTGACAGATGTTTGGCAGAACTTACACTTCTCAGGAGAGAGTTTCAGTCTGAATTCCCTTAACCTCTGGAGCACTTGAAGTAGCCGAGCTTCATGTTCTTCCAGAGTTCTCGAGAAGACAATTAAATCATCAATGAACACGAGCACTTCCTTCCGATTGAGATCTCCCATACAGCGTTCCATCAATCGCTGAAACGTGCTAGGTGCGTTTGAGATTCCTTGCGGCATCCTGTCGAAAGCCGTCTTCTACTTATCAGACTCTTCCATTTCAATTTGATAGTAGCCCGACTTGAGGTCAAGGACTGAAAACCATCTCGATCCGGTTAAGACTGAAAAGGCTTCTTCCAAGTTAGGAAGGGCATATGCATCCTTGATTATCTGGGAGTTTAACTTCCTGAAATCAATGCACAATCTCACAGAATTGTTCTTCTTTCGCACCACAACTATAGGAGACGAGAAGGGAGATTCGGACTCTTTGATAACACCAGCTTCAAGGAGTTCTTGAAGATGCTTCCTGACAGCATCCACATCTTGTGGGTGAATCGGTCGAGCTCTGTGCTTGAATGGCGTTTCATTACTGAGCTTTGTCCTGTGTTTTACTTGGTCAGTGTGACCATAATCCAGATCATGTAATGCAAATACATCAGACATGGAGTTCAACAGTGAGGTTATTCTCTTTTTCCACTCTGGTGTCAGAGGAGAATCTCCAAAGTCAGTTGGAATCTTGGGCGGAATTGGCCCCATCTTCTCACTTTCAGCATCACCTTTGGAAAACTCTTTCTCCACTCGCTGGACTGCATGGACTTCAGCTATCACAGTCTTCTGGGGAATCACTAAATCAGTTTGGTAGATTGTGCGGACAGCTTGCCACTAAAAGGTAATCCACAACATGGAGACTCGTGAGCATGCTGGTGAGGCAGATATTCATTCTTCTTAGGGCATTTTTCTCTTCTTCTAGTCTCTGTCCACCCCGTGATTTCAGTTTAAAGACCTCAAGTTGGTGGCACTCTGGAGGTCCCATTTGGCCTGTCGCTCTCTTAACTCACGGCGCTTCTCTTCAACCTTGCGAGGGTTCGGATCATTCTCACAGTTAACAGCAAGATGTCCATCGTCTCCGCAATGGAAGCAATAACCAGGACGGGGTCTGTTGTGCAACTGCCCAGTGGGTTTAAAGCTCTTGTTCATCTCAGTTTCTGTCAAATTGGGTCGGTATTTTGCAGGGAAAGTGCTCAAAGCTGGAGACCTCTCTTGACATTCCCCTTGAAATCTCGGAACGAGATGAGCTTGAAGCTCAGCTATCTGCTGTCTCAACTCAGAAATTTCATCCACATTGGGGCTGCTCTTTTCTTTGCGAACAGGCTCGGTCTTCATCATGGTAATCTGTGTTTGAAGTTTTGCAATTTCCCTCTTCAGGCTTTCAACTTCAGACTTTTCAATTTTGCTTTTAGACGTGGCTGAATTCTGCTTTACACTTAACTGACATGGCTCTACTTCATTTGACTCATCAGGTACATCACTGCAGTACACAAACTGTTGGTTAATTGCTGTCCGTAACTTGAGTGGAACAGGAGCATGTCTGTTTAGTCCAAGGTGCTTCCTCATCTTTTCTTCTTTAAGAGATTGTTTATCTTCCGCAGTGCGGATGAGCACCACAAGTTCAGTGAAAGAAGGGGGTGTGGCTCTCTTTCCTTCTAGTTGTAGATCGATGATTAAGCTGTTGTCCCAGCAACCTCTGCAAAATTGCTTGAGGAGACAACAGTTCCTTTCAGCTTCAGCAATACCACCTCGTCTAATCGCAGTGCTCAGCATTACATGAAGACGGTGAAGGTAGGTGGATGGTTTTTCTCCTTGATTTTGCAGGGCACCAATGAACTTTGTAAACAATTCATCTCCGTCCTCCACTGAGCCATAAATAGACTCCAACAGTTTCAAACACTCTAAGGGCAAAGCATATGGACCGATGTGTGCTTGACGACATCCGAGGCAGGAGGTAGCAGACTGTCGAGGATTTTCCCAGTCTTGTGCAAATCAGAGAGGGACTGATCGTTCAATAGGAAGTCCACAGTCGCACGCCAGGTGTCAAAATCTGGTTCATGGCTGGGGCGAGGAATTCTTCCTGAGAAGGCTTTGAGACGAAAGGAAACATGTGAAGAAGACATGGAATCACTGGTTCTTACCACGTGCTCCATCACTACTCGTTGAAGTCCTGGCGGATTCAAAGCAGTGACTTTGCCGGTGTGCTCTCCTTGGCAGGGTTTTCAGGTTCTCTCGTATGCATACTGCTCTCATACACATGCTGTGTATCAATGTCCAGTTAAGTTTCAGATGCAAAGTCAAAAGTCTCAATGTCCAGTTAAGTTTCAGATGCAAAGTCAAAAGTCTCAATGTCCAGTTCAGTTTAAAAAATAAAAATAAAAAAAATATAGCAATGTTCATCAAAAGTGGAAAAATTCAGTCCACGAAGAAAGTAAAAAAATTTGTTTGATCCAGGGAAAATCCAGGCAGCAAAACTTGGAAAAACTCTAAACAAATATAGTTTTGGTCCTACCAGATCGACAAATTTCACTCTTTTCCTCCGTTTCCAGGCACGAAATGATGGGATAGCTCGCCAGTCCAAACCAGAATACGAGTATTCAGCAGGGACAGGATTCAGGATCACAATTCTCAACAAAGACAAAAAAATATTTAAAAAAAAACCCCGTCCTTGCAAAAACAATGCCAAAAACAATCTTCAGTAACTTGTTCGAATAAACCATTTCAAATGACTAAATGACCATTTTTTCCTGCTTCAATTATTTGCATTGCAACACATACATGTTAATCGCCATGTGCTCAATTACAAAACTAGAGTCTATGCACAGTGTTAGCAAAGCTAGCACAACATGAAACACATTTCACTTTGAGAAATTATCACATCTTCACAAATAAAACACCCTTCATCAACTTGAACATAATTATATACACTAACAGATCGTATTGATGCAAAAATGAAGCATTTTCAACACATTTTTACATTACTAACTCACATTCCTGGTTAACTTTACAATATCCAATAACAGTATTCACATTTAGTTTAATTAAATACATTTCTTATAACTACATTTGTACTCACCAAGGAGAAATGTATCAGAAAAAATAAATAAATTAAGTATTCCTCCGAAGAAATACTGATTAGGCTCTATTTCATCAGCTTCTTGTTGCGTCTCTTTCAGTGCTGTTTCTTGTTGTGTCTTTCTCAAAGCGTGAGCTTTTAAGAGTTAATGTCTCACTAATCTGGCTCTTAATTTGTTAATAATCTATTGCTGGATTATTAAACTGTATTTTCATTGAATTCGCGCCACTGAGTCTTCTCTCTTTCAAGTTCACTCTCGTTCTGTCTGCTTGTGCGCTACCACCCACAAGGGGCGGAGCTAACCTTTCACCTCCCCAATTAAGAATCATTCAGGAACTTGTAAAAAACTTTTTTACTTGTAGAGTGATCTTTCTGCATATTTATCTTTCCTTTCTAAATATTATAGCAATAATAATTAGATAAAATGTCAATTAAATATTAGTGACCTAGATTAATGATCTGGGTTACATTTACTCTCGTGCTCTTTCGGGTAAAATTGATACCGTAATCTGCCCTACAAGCAGATTGACAATCTGAGTAAATCCCACACACACTAGGACAGAGTTCATTCGGCGTGGCAGTCTGCTCAGAGTTCCTTAAAAGCTTGCCTTCTCCTACCTCGAAATTAAGGTCTTTGCAGCTTGGACTACCTGCTTACCAGAGAGCCATTTCAGCACAGATAGAACAAAAGCCTCCGTCTGTTTCCGCCCAGTTTCGAGCTGGGGACCTTTCGCGAACATGATAACCGCTACACTACGGAAACCTGCAGCCAGTACTGTGTCTGACCTTTCCATCACACGCTTCTTGGAGCGCAAATCAAACTACAGATTGCGTTGTGCTCTTTAATCTGCAAATACCTTCTATTTTTAGCGGCAAACCAAGCATTTTTTTAGTGCTCTGTGGTAATCTTCAGTGGTCGTTTCTTTTGTGCTGTTTTTTTCATTTAATTTAATTAATTTTATTTTTTTGGAAAATGTTATACCACAGATTGGGCCTATGAGTGCACCAGCCATAATTTAGTTTAGTTATATGTTAGATATAGTTTAATTTATTAAATCCCATATATTCATAATTGATTGTCTCTGTGTGCTGCTCACAATTCGAAGTCACTGAATGTTTGAATTCTTGCTACATGCTAAATTACTGCTAGTACTGCATAAAGAAGGAAAGCTATTGTTCCTTGGCCAGGAAAATAATTTTCCCTTGAATTGATAAATGATTACATTGTCTGCTCGGTGGACGGACAGATCAAATAATTGTAATAGATTCTACTACAGTTAATTCTAAGATCTAATCTAAATATTTTTTATTAATCATAACCAGTTATAATTAGTCATAAATATTTCCCTTTTGAGCTGATTTACTACACAACCTTGGAAAAAGGCACCCTTGTTTCCACCTGAGGACCTTTCGCGTGTGAGGCAAACGTGATAACCAGTACACTACAGAAACCTATCAGGAAGCAACAACAAGAATTCTCCAGGAATGTCACAAAGAGTTTATGCATTCCCTCAAAAATAAAACTCTGTTTCTGCTTAGCTTCGGACCCAGGACCTTTTGCATGTTAGGTTAACGTGATGATCACTATTGTAGCGTCTGGACCAATCAGACACACCATTTTTCATTAGATTTAACAAATCAGTTATTCATTAGATTAACAAATCGTCACAGACCCCTCACCCAATAAACATACTGGGTGCCAGGATGTCTGTGAACGACAATAGGCCTCTGATTCCATGGCAACCAATGCTGATATCACTGGTTTTATTGCAATTATTCATATTTCCCCTTTGAGCTGATTCGCTACACTATACTACAGAAACTCAAAAAGTTTACTCTCGTGCTCTTTCGGGTAAAATTGATACCGTAATCTGCCCTGCAAGCAGATTGACAATCTGAGTAAATCCCACACACAGTAGGACAGAGTTCATTCGGCGTGGCAGTCTGCTCAGAGTTCCTTAAAAGATTGCCTTCTCCTATCTCGAAATTAAGGTCTTTGCAGCTTGGACCACCTGCTTACCAGAGAGCCATTTCAGCACAGATAGAACAAAAGCCTCCATCTGTTTCTGCCCAGTTTCAAGCTGGGGACCTTTCGCATGTAAGGCAAACATGATAACCGCTACACTACGGAAACCTGCAGCCAAGACTGTGTCTGACCTTTCCATCACACACTTCTTGGAGCGCATATCAAACTACAGATTGCGTTGTGCTCTTCAATCTGCAAATACCTTCTATTTTTAGCAGCAAACCAAGCATTTTTTCCAGTGCTCTGTGGTAATCCTCAGTGCTCGTTTCTTTTGTGCTGTTTTTTTTTTCATTTAATTTTCCTCCTCAACAGAAAGTCAATTGAACAATTGTGAAAAAGAGAGTGACTGCTCCCACCCAGTTTCAAGCTGGGGACCTTTCGCGTGTGAGGCAAACATGATAACCACTACACGACGGAAACCTGTCTGCAGAAAGCCGACCGAAATCTTTAGGTGCATGCTTGGTAAAAAGCGCATAAAGGTAAAATGTTCTAAAGCACAATAAAGGCATAAAACGTTTATACGTTTCTTCAAAACGGTGCAGCTGTTTCTGTTCGATTTCAAACCGAGCACCTTTCACGTGTTAGGCAAAAGTGATGACCACTACCCTACAGACACCAGTTGGAAACCCTCTTTTGCTTTAACAAGGCGAAGGCGAAGCCTTTTGTAGCATTGAGTGAGAACACAACAGACCCCGACTTCTCCGATTCCTCAAACAATGATGTACAGTATGTGATTGTGAAATGCATCATACGATTGGTACTATATTTTGGGTAAAACTGCACCAATCCTCCAGTCCGGCCATAAACATGCAAATGGACCATAAAGGGAGAAAAAGAAAACTTCTCCCACTCAAAAATTCACGCCTGGTATGGCTATTCCACCCAAAAGGTGGGTGTGGATAGGAACTATGAAAGTCATTAGCTCAGGCTAATCTAAGCTCAGAAAACCCTTTCTTTTGAGACGGACACTTTCCAAGACTCCTCAAAACTCTCCTCTTGAGTTTGATTTTCCGGCAGTTTTTCATCTTCAAGTAACTCTGTCGATCCGCTGTGGACTTTCCTATCTTCAGAAGAACCAGAGGAAAACGGTTGTGGTTAATTGATGTGAAATACTGCCATTCTTTTGCTCTTCTCTCTCTCTTCCTTACTTTCCTTCATTCTGTATATATATATATATATATATATATATATATATATATATACATATATGTGTTTTGCTTAGTTTAGTTATATGTTAGATATAGTTTGATTTATTAAATCCCATATATTCACAATTGATTGTCTCTGTGCGCTGCTCACAATTCGAAGTCACTGAATGTTTGAAGTCTTGCTACATGCTAAATTACTGCTAGTACTGCATAAAGAAGGAAAGCTATTGTTCCTTGGCCAGGAAAATAATCTTTCCTTGAATTGATAAATGATTATATTGTCTGCTCGGCAGTTATAATCAGTCATAAATATTTCCCTTTTGAGCTGATTTACTACACAACCTTGGAAAAAGGCAGCCTTGTTTCCACCCAGTTTCGAACTGAGGACCCCCCGCGCGGCGGCCGGGGATTCTTTAGCTAAACGGCCCCAGACTGTTTCCCATTCATTCTCAATGGTAGTCTAAACCACTACGGATGCGATATACTTTCATCCGCTAGCGCTCTCGTGGCGCTCTTCCGTGTTTCGGCAGCCCGGGAAGTTTGAATTCGCAGAGGAAGAAGAAGGAGAAGAAGAAGGAAACACAGCGGCGATCGCTTCGGTTGTTTAATTCAACGCATTCCCAGCGCATCTATCAAAGGTAAGATACTTTACGTGACATCAGTTTACGTTTTATTACCGTTAATGCTGAAATCACATTTTCTGTGTACTGTTTGTCATCATTAACACGTCATTTGTTGATTACAAGCTAAATTATGAATGGAACCATTAATTTCATTTTTGTAATGAGATTACATGTATTCCACAGTTCAAAAATGTTTTCTGACCATGGTTTTACTATAGTAACCATAATTTAGCCATGGTATTTTAGTTGAATCACAACAATAAATGTACTATTGTTGTTATTGTATTGGGCATTATATTTACAGTACAGCCATGAAATTGTAAATGAATATCAATCAGCCAAGAACAGTAGGATTACTACAGTTTTACTATAGTAACATCATTGTTTATATATATAAATATAATATAATATATATATTATATGTGTGTGTGTGTTTGTGTCTGTAATAGAATTATTGTTTTTTGTAATACTGCTATGCTGTTGTTCTTGTAGAGAGTCTTAAAATGTCTTCATTTACCCTTACACAAATTAATGCTTTAAGAAAGTTTTAAATCAGAGCACAAAGTCTTACATTCATAAAATGATGGCATTAAATGTTGGATGCATAGCAAAAAGTGAAGGAATCTCTTCCTCTGTATTTTGTCTTGTTTTCCAACACAAATATCAAGCATCTTTCAGTCAAGATACGTTTATTTCAGATGCAAATGTAAAACGAAGTCTTGAAAAATGTTAATAAAATTAAATGAGTTTATACTTAAAACAATAACAAATATTTGTCAATGAGTTATCAAAACTTCCCTTTTATTAATTTGTTTGTTAATTAAATTAAGGTGACTTTTTGAAGAACATCACTTTTTTGCAGCATGATCTAAATGCACAGAAAAATATACTGTATTTCCATATTCTAGTGTCTGGGAGCGGAGTGTTTCAGTGCATTTTTGTAAACTGAATTAAATTATGAATATCTGTTGGAAGTTGTATTTTCAAACTCTGAAGTTAATACAACTCATTGTGTTTCTCTACAGACATTTATGTTGACAGAACATATTTGTGGTTTTCCTCATTTGTTCCACAAATTTGATTTACTTGGTTTTAAAAAGGTCTTAACTTTACCTTCATAAAACCTGCAGAAACTCTGTTTCCTTACACATTAAACTAAATGTTCAACTTGTTGCAGACACCACTGGTACACTGCCTGTGCCCTCGCTGTCCTCATATGGTTCCCATGTGGAGCCTGGCAAGCAGGCCCAGGCCCCCTCAGCCAAGAGTCCGAACCTGCGAGGGGGGGGCGAGAGCCCACTGTTCACACGTCAC